AAATGTTGTGGGGTTGTTAACCAATGTCATAAAACAGCATGTGTGTTACTGTTACATGAGAAACTATCTGTTATGTAAGCCTTCACCTGAAGTACAATAAAATAAAAAAAATTAAAAAAAAGTTACACCATAGCTGGGCTTGAGATGTTGCATTATTTCCTTGGTGCCAGAAGACAAAAAAAGACAGACTCATTATTACCTTAAAACACCAGGAAAACGTTAGCTAGGATGGGGAAAGCTACTTCCATGAATACATGTAACAGATCCCTTTTCATCCATTCTTCATTTTCCTGATAGCCTTCTTTTCTGATATTCATGCTCTTTACCCACAAGGAACATCTACAGAATTTGTAAGGCCCAGTGCAGATTGAAAATTTGAGACTCCTTAATCAAAAATTATTAAGCATTTCAAGACAGCAAAAGCAGAATATTAAACCAAGTATGGGGCGCTTCTAAGCATGGGACCCTTTACTACTTACTACATAGGCCACACACTCAGGAAATGGGCTCTGTCTACCACTCATTCATGAAGTCTCCTACTTTACATCTCTTTATAGTCCTAATTTAGGAGCCTGGTGGCACAATGGTTAAGTGCTAGGCTGCTGCAGAAAACGTTGGCAGTTTGAACCCACCCAGAGGCTCCGCAGGAGAAAGATCTGGCAACCTGCTCCTGTAGATTACAGCCTAGAAAACTGTGTCACATGGGGTTGCTGTGAGTTGGAAATTGATTCAACAGCACCTAAGAACAACAAATTGAGATCTGGGAGAGCGAGAGTTCACACTTAAGCCAAAAGTCAACCTGGTAGTTCTTTCTCCAACTGGTAGTAACTTGTATTTTTCATCTCTTGGAAAAAAAAGACAAGACAAGGTTTAGATTCAGAGAAATCTTTCCCATTCATCACAGATTGTCTCTAGGGTTTAGAACTATTCCTATAATTGTTTGCAAATAAAGTCACATGACTAGGAAATAAAGATGGTAAGGGATGCAGTGCTGGAGATGGGGCTTCTTTGGACAGTCCGAGATATACTTCAAGATGCTTGCACCATCAAAAAGAAAGTCTATTTTATGGGCACTTTATCACTCTCCACTCTTTATTTTTATACCACAGTCTCTACTTCTACTTTCTCTAAACTTACTTAAATAGGAAAGCTGAACATATGTTGGTGAAATATTTATAATATTTTTTAAAACTATTAATAATATATTTGTAGCATATGATTTGGGTTGCTCATCCTTTCCCCTTAGATTTTAATACTCTTCTTCTGTGTTATCTTTCAACATATTAATTATGTTTTTTCATTTATGATTACTGACTGTTTACCTTAAACACTTAAATATAGTAGTGAAACTCAAATAGATTATGATAATATATCTGAATATAGTAAATAGTACTGAGTAGCAATTTTTATAATTGTAGTATTACCAATGAATTGTTATGCTTAACAGAAAAAAAGTTTGAATGGAATGAGCCCAGAAAGCCTCCTGTGCCACTGAGGAGTGAACATCCTGTCATGGGAATACAAAGTGGAAAAAATTTTATAAATACAAATGCAGCTGATGTCATTATGGGAGTGGCTAAAAAGCCTAAACCAATTTATGTTGACAAGAGAACTGGAGACAAGCATGATCTTGAATCTTCAGGACTCGTTCCAAAGTTCATCAATAAAAAGGTAACCTTGTGATATATTAATGACAGATCTAAGATTCGAATAATGAAAATAAGGTGTTGATAAATATGGATTGAATCGTATCCCCTTAAATATGTGTCATCTTAGCTAGGCCATGATTCCCAGTATTGTGTGGTTGTCCTCCATTTTGTGATCTGATATAATTATCCTCCATTTTGTGATGTGTTATCAATCCTGTTTGTTAATGAGGCAGGATTGGTGTGGAGTGTATCCTGAGTCACCACCTTACAAGAAGGTGTGACTTGAGTAAGGGGTGACTCAAGTCACACCCATACTTAAGTCACCACCCTTGCTTGTCTCACACCTTTTATCTTGCAAGAGATAAAAGGAGAAGTGAACAGAGGGAGGGACCTCACTACAATCAAGAAAGAAGAGCTGGGAGCGGAGCATATCCTTTGGACCCAAGGTCCCTGCACTGAGAACCTCCTAGACCCAGGGGAAGACTGATGCCAACACACATGGAGATCTCCAAGGAACACCAGGCCCACAGATGTTGAAAGGAGACAAGGACCTTCCTCCAGAGCCAGTAGAAAGAGAAAGCCTTCCCCTGCAGCCAGCACTCTGAATTCGGACTTCTAGCCTCCTAAACTGTGAGAAAATAAATTTCTGTTTGTTAAAGCCACCCACTTGTGGTATTTCTGTTAAAGCAGCACTAGATAACTAAGACAGCATTTGGTACTGAGAAGTAGGGGGTGCTGCTCTAACAGATACCTAAAATGTGAAAGCAGTTTTGTAAAGCCATCTACTTGTAGTATTTCTGTCATAGCAGCACTAGATAATGAAGACAATAATGATTGTCTATCTTATCATTAATGGTGTTCTCACTGGACAGTTATCTAGATAGCCTATTCACATTCCTCTGCAATCTATGTTTGGTCCAAATCTAATGTAATGAAATGGAGTGGCCATTATATGTAGCTCAGCAGATGAAAGGGAGAATTGTCCTCCTTAATTTCATTATTATTATCTTTATCATTCTCTAAAAGATATTTCTGGTGAGGTAGAAATGTTACTACAAGCACAGTCACTACTGTAAATCTAAAAAGAATAACCTCTCGGAAGATCCCCTGATTTAGTCATTAGGTTGTAGTAACTTGATAGCAAAAATGAGAGAAATGAACAGGAATACAAGTTTGGAGCCATCCATCCCCATCCAAAGAAAAAAAAAACCCGTTGCTGTTGAGTCGATTCCGACTCATAGCAACCATGTAGGACAGAGTAGAACTGCCCCACAGGGTTTCCAAGGGGCGACTGGTGGATTCGAACTGCCGACCTTTTGGTTAGCAGCCGTAGCCTGTAACCACTCATCCTCATCCGTGCAGTATAAATAATTTGCATCACTATTTCAACTTGAATATATCCATTTATTTTTAATTTGGGGTAAAGCAGGCTTTGAAAGGACCGTACAATAATCTGGTCCTTTCGGGCGTTAAAGAAAATTGGGTCCTCATTTCTGTCTGAAAAGATGTTTATCAGATAGGCATATGATTTCACTGGGGGAAATTATAGAAGCACGGGTTAAATGGTTTGAATACAGAGGTTCTTTAAAAGCAAAAAAAGGCTTACCAAAGAAAACTTATATAAATTCTATTTCATTTCGTGTACTTATTGAGCTTTAAAATGCTTGAAACACATATAGTAAAATATGAATGCAAAATCATAAATAATAATAATAAATAAGTTATGACAAGAAAGAAAGGAAGAAATAATGGAAGGAAGGGAGGAATGAAAGAAAAAAGCAGAGAGAAAAGAAAGAAGAAATTGCAATAGTAATGTATAAGGGATTTGGATTGAGGTAAATGATCATCTACCATGATAGATCCAATCCCTGTTCAAAATCAGCACAGGAACCCCAAGACTAAGATCACCTGTGGAAGAATTTTAGCAGGAATTTAAGAAATGGCAGTATATGCTAATAAAGTTACATCATGCTTCTCCAGAGAATATTCCCTGCTTCTGTGGCCCTTGGAGGCTGCTCATAGTACTTTTCTCATAGGGTGGGGAAAAGTAGAAATTTCACTCTTCTGGACCTTTACAGTACCTCCTAACCATTATTTCTCTACTATCATGTATCTTTTGATTATCACACCCCACGCTCTGCCCCTCCTCCTGGCTGCCCTCTGCCTATCTGGCCACTTCAATACATTTTCTGTCTAACAGAAAATTTGGGAATATCTATCTCAGATACAGAAAAATATTAGGTTAGTCTACCGATGCTTGTTTACTAAGCTACTGAAACACTTTTCTAGGTACCTATTGTCCTCTTGATGTTGCTGACTAATCAATCAAGACTCGAAAGACTTAATTTACTTTTCACTTATCTGAGTTAAGTTTTAAAAATCTATTATTGGTAAGTGAGATAGTAAATACTTTAAGGATGATGCCATTTAAAAAAAAACGAGTGAACCTCACGTTTTTTTTCCAAATAAAATGTTATATGCCCGTTTATGCCATGAGAAGCAATTTCTAAAAATAAACTGAAGTATGATGATCACATGAGGTGTGTAGCAATAGTAATAAGACATAACCTCAGATCCTACCTCTGCCACTTACTAGCTCTGTGATCTTTAACAAATCATTGGATTTATCACAGGGTTGTAGTGAGGATTAAATGATATAAAACATATTAAGCCCTTGATAGAATACATGGCACCTAAAAAGTTCAATAAAGAGTGTGTATAATACAATTATTATAATATTCACTTATTACTATTGCAAGTATACATGAGCCCTCAATGATCCAACACATAGGAATATTCCAGACCCCTGAAGCTTTTACCCATTTGTGAAATCGTTTGTTTTTCCCTAAAATATATTGTACCATTCCCTTTTTTAGACATCGTATGCCAAACATAAGTTAATCTTTCACTGATGACTCAGAACCATCATTATGCATATCAGTTATTGAACTGAGCTGTAAGAAGGTGATGCCCTCAGTGGTTACGGAAGTGCATTGGATTGTTAACCCCTGTACCAACTGACTGGAATACTGTGCTTTATAGTTTATTTGTATAGTGTCTTGCAATTTTCTAGAACACATTTGTATCTAGGATTTCTAGCCCTTGTTTCAGCCAGGATGGGCTAGGTTATGCTGTGGTAACCAATAACCCCAATATTTCAGTAACTTAAAGCAACAAAGTTTTATTGTTTGCTTGTGCTGTATGTCCATTAATGGGTGTTAGACACTGTGCTTCCTGTTGTCCTTACTCCAGGACCATGGCAACCCAAAAATGTTACCAGTCAACATAGCAGAGAGGAAAAGAATGTGGCAAATCATCCACTAGTTCTTAAGGCTTCTACCAAGAAGTGACAGAGTTCACCCCTAGTCACATGGGAAGTATTGTCCTGTCAAGTTTCTAGAAGGAGAAGGACCAGAATATTTGTGGGCAGCTTTAATGACTGACATATCTCTCAACTACTGCCTTCTCAGAGAGACCTTCCTTGACCTCCGTATTTATCTAAAATAACTCCTATCATCCTCTTTCCCCTTACTGTCCTTTATTTTGCTTCAGTTCACTTATTATTTATGTTATTGTATAGTCTATTTTTGGTTAAGTCTGTATCTCCACAGAAGGCAAACTCCATGAGGACAGAAACTTTGCCTTTCTTATTCATTATTATACCTATCACCAAGTACATTCTCAAATAATTTTTTGAAGAATGAACAATGAGTAGTTCCATTTCTTTAGACAGTAATATCAACAGATTCATTATTATGAAAGAATCACTGCCAATAGCATTGTTATCAGTCCTTGTAAGCAGCCTAGGAGCCTAAAAATGTACTTTGCATTTCCAAAAACAACATCATGTCCCAAGTCAACTTTCTCTTAAAGCTGATGTGCTTGGTATCTTTTAAGGCTTTGTTTTTATAAAGGTCTTGGAAGCGTTTGTCTTATTTAACTAAACCACGCAAAAGAGGTGTCTTAGTTATCTAGTGCTGCTATAACAGAAATACCATGAGTGGGTGGCTTTAACAAACAGAAATTTATTCTCTCACAGTTTAGAGGGCTAGAAGTCTGAATTCAGGCTGCCAGCTCCAGGGGAAGGCTTTCTCTCCCTGGTGGCTCTGGGGAAAAGTCCTTACCATCAATCTTCCCCTGGTCTAGGAGTGTCTCAGCCCAGGGAGCCCAGGTCCAAAGGACACACTCCATTACTGACGCTTCTTTCTTGGTGGCATGAGGTCCCACTCCTCTCTCCTCAATTATCTCTTCTGTATCTCAGATTAATTCAAGATACATCCTAATCCTGTAGATTGAATCCTTCCTCATTAACATAACTACCACTAATGCTGCCTCATTAACATCATAGAGGTTAGGATTTACAACACATAGGATAATCACATCAGATCACAAAATACTGGACAACCACAGGATACTGGGAATCATGGCCTATCAAAGTTTATACACGTTTTGGGAGGACATGATTCAATCCATAACGAAAGGCCTTATGAATTCAAGGTATTTCAAGGATAAACACTAAGTTCCTAAAATAAATAAAGAAAACCAACTTGTTGTTAGGTGCAGTCAAGTTGGTTCCAACTCGTAGTGACCCTATGTACAACAGAACAAAACACTGCACAGTCCTGCACCATCCTTACAATGGTTGTTATCTTTGAGCAGATTGTTGCAACCACCGTGTCAATCCATTTTGTCAAAGGTCTTCCTCTTTTTTGCTGACCCTCAACTTTACCAAGCATGTTGTCCTTCTCCAGGGACTGGTTCCTCCTGATAACATATCCAAAGTGAGACGAAGTCTCACCATCCTCGCTTCCAAGGAGCATCCTGGCTGTACTTCTTTCAAGACAGACTTGTTCATTCTTCTGTCAATCCATATTCTTTGCCAACACCATAATTAAAAGGTGTCAATTCTTCTTTGGTCTTCTTTATTCTTTGTCCAGCTTTCACATGTATATGAGGCAATTGAAAATACCATGACCTGAGCCAGGTGCACCATAGTCCTCAAAGTGACATCTTTGCTTTGTA